GGGTTTCAGGCGCATCGGTTTGGCTGAGCAACCCTCACAAACACACGCACGGATTCTACATTATAGAACGACCCCCTTGCATTCATGGACGAACGCTTGGTTCACAGCACCGACGTCATCGCATCATATCCCCTCACCGGTCATGGGCTTTTTATCTCTAGAAATATGAGAATATTTTCATCTCGCCTTGATACAACTCGAGCTATCTTTTCATCACGGAATCCCACAAGCATTGCTTTGTGACATGGTTCACCCTTCCCAGATGAAATCACTCCACGACTTGTAAGCTTGGAACAGGTGTATCTCGTCACGGTCAAACGGGCAAGATGTGAAAAGCGAGCCGAAAATGCAGTCACCTAGCTACCTAGTACTTATCTAGCCTCGTCCACATTTGCTTCTTTTACATTCGCAGCAACTCACATTCCTCAGCCAACCCAGCCAGGTTATGAAAACTAAAGCACCACTTTGCGCCATGAAACCTTGTTACATGAAATTTTGAAACACCTGACACCATCCTCTAGCCCACGACACCAAACTTTCGCATTTTGCGGAGTCGCGAAACTGCTGAGTATCAACAACAGGGGGCCCCTACGACTTCTCTACTGCCTTCTCGAGCTGAGCCGACGTCACCTCCTTAGCTGGTGCGCTCGGAGCCGGCGCTACGGCTGCCGAATTAACTGCACTTGCCGGCCTGAGTGGGAGAGCAGTGGGGGTGGGCCCGGGGCCAGAGGAGGTGGCGGCGGCAGCCTTCTGCGCCTCCTTCTTGAGGCGCTTCTTCTCCTTTTCCTTCTCTTTTGCGGCCTTCTTGGCGGCAGCCTTCTCCGCCTCGATCGCCTTCTGCTTCCGCAGCTCCTCTCCTCCGAAAGCCTCACGCCACTCCTCCAACTTTGACGCGGGAATCACCGAAAATGGCCTCTCAGGCTCTCCGATGGGCTTGCCCGCCTCAAGCATGTCTGCGTTCCAGACGTCAGGGATGATGAAGGACGAATCCAGAACCGTCTCCCCCGCAGAGACTGCACCTATCTGCCTCATGATTGACCGCGCTGTTCCAGGCAGATAAGGGGATATCAGGCTTGCTAGGAGATGGAGGTGCTCGAGAGCGAGAGCGATGAGGCCATTGGCAAGATCAAGGTTCTCATCCACAAGTTGGTTGCCTAGCTTGTGATCTTGCAGCAGTTTATTTCCCAGGGCCGACACACTGTTGAGAATCCGATCAGCATCATTGGTCTCTAGCAGTGGGGGGTTCGGCTTATGCGCACCTTAGGGCCGTGGCAAGACCTGCTCTCAGCTTGGTCCCCTTGACATTGGCGATGTACTCCTGGAGCAGCTTGTTCACCTCCGCTTTGTGCTGCTCAAAGGTCTCCACCGTGGATTTGGACTGCGGCGGGATCACAGCGCCCATCTTGGCATGACAGAACTTGACAACTCTCTGAACCAAGTTGCCTAGGTTCTTGAGGAGGTCGTTATTATTGCCGTCAATAAACTCCCTGGAGGACATATATGTAATTAGCAGGCCGAGAGAGTCACAGGTGAGTCCAATTCATGTGCTGACATACTCCCACTTGAACTCGGCATCGCTGCTCTCGGGACGTCGCGACAGCAGATAATACCGCCAGACATCAGGATCGATACCAGTGTCCCGTGCGGTGTTTCCAAAAACGCCAACCCCCTTGGACTTGCTGAACTTGCCACCCTCGTAGTTGAGGTATTCCGAGGTGGACAGGTGGTTGACTTTGGTCCAGTTGTCTTTGGTACCGAGTTGGGAGGCCGGGAATATGATGGTGTGGAATCTGGGAAACAGTGAGAATCAGCCCATTCGAGAATTGTCACAAGATATATGCTGTGGCTTGGAAGTGTGAGTGCTTACGGGACATTGTCCTTCCCCATGAACTGGAACAACGTCACTTCATCAGGGTTCTTCCACCACTTCTCCCAGTTCTTTCCAGCGAGGTTGCCAGCGTCGGTATATGTTTTGGTGATGGAAGGGTAACCAACTAGATTGGCAACTCCCTGTTAGCGGGTGACTTTTGAGGCAGGGGATCGCCAAAGAGGATTGGGTACTCACTGCAAGCATCAAACCAGACGTAAAACACCTTGCAAGCATACTCTTCGTCGGACAGGCCATCGAGGCCCTTGGGGACTACGGTGGTGGGGTTGTCAGTCAGCAAGCCACTCTATTGGACATCCAGCGTTTAAATCAACATCAAAGGCCCCAAGGAAGCACATACTTGGCACTCCCCACCGAAGGTCCCGGCTGATCCCACGGGGCTTGAGCCCCTTGTCGATCCACGATCTGGTGATGGCAACGCAGTTGGAGCTCCATCCCCCCTCAACCTTGGCTAGCCATGGCAAAATCTCGTTCTGAAGCTCGTCAAGGCGGATGAAGAGATGTCTCGTCCTGCGCTTTTCTGGGGTCGAGCCGTCGACTTTGCATCGGGGGTTCAGAAGCCAGCCTGTAGCTTTAGCGTCATCGGGGGCAGAGCCATCCTTGTCCGGTTCCATAGGGTCAAGGAGGTTTCCACAGCTGTCGCACTGATAGAGGCCAACGCGGTTAGAAGCTGGAGGTGTCCGTTGACACTAAGGCCGACTCGTCTAACGAGCTGAATGAGCATACCTGGTCGCCACGGGCACCCGTGTAGTGGCAGATACTGCACTCGCCCTCGACAAAGCGGTCGGCAAGAAAGGTGTTGTGGGCAGGGACGGCGCAAAAGGCCTGGGTGGTCTCCTGCTGCTCAATGAAGCCATTGTTCCACAGCTTGGTGAAGATGTCCTGGACAATCAGGGTGTGCTCGTCCGTGGGAGTGCGACCAAAGACGTCGAACTCGATTCTGAACCAGTCGTAGATGTCCTTGTGAATGGCGTGATACTTGGCGCAAAGCGTGGCCGGGTCTACGCCCTCCTCGAGCGCCTTCGTCTCGGTTGCGGTGCCGTACTCGTCAGAGCCGCAGACGTAGAGCGTCTGCAGGCCTCGTGCGCGGCAGAAGCGCGCAAACACGTCGGCGGACTTTCAAGAGGCGTGTCCTCGTAAGCAGGGCAGTTCATGGGCGGGGTGCCGGAATGTGACGGGTGAATGAGCAAGGTGACATACGAGCACACTACCAATGATGTTGCCCAGGTGAGGCACGTTGTTGACATAGGGCAACGCGCTGGTGACCAGGATGTTCTCCTTGCCCGGCAGCGGGAGGATGGGCTCGCCTTTGGTAGCCATGGCTACTCTGCGCTTGGATATGCCCCTCTAGTGCGTTTTGCTCGCGGTGTTTGGTGTTTGCTCCTCTCGCGTGCAGTCTGCCGTACCAGTTGTGCCTGGTGCCACGCGCTCTGCGGTCAAAGACTTGGAATTTGGTATCTAACCGTTGTACCTCGAGTTCTTTACAGTGAGTCAAATCACGAGACTTCAATTGAGGGGCACAGCTCCCATTGAGTTTGGTCTGGCGCACGGATGCACTGGCACGAGGAGGGGCATATCCGACCCGAAGAAAGGGTTCAGTCAGGGGGTGGGTCTAGGTCTTCGTTCCAGCCATCCTGAGCTTTCTGGCCAATCGCCCACATCGCGAGTGGGTTTTGAGGGAAAGCGGAGTTGACGTCATGCAGCCGCCTTCTCAAAGAGGCAGCAGCGCATCGCCGCCGCCTTCTTCCTCTGGTGGTTTAGCTGTGGCTACTACGCATGCGTGACAAGATGTTCTTGCATCATGACTTTAGCGGGAGACTCCAAAGACAGAATTTAACCTAGCAGCGAGGCAGCCCACTCGAGGTGGGCGAACACCTCAAACAAGGTGGAAGCTTAAAAAATTCTCCAATTACCCATTTTTTCTCCCACCTTGTCTGAGGTCTCCGCCCACCTTGGCTGAGCTGTCCCCTCGCAACCAGCACCCACCACACCCACACCCACATGGTCACAACAGGGATTCGCTCAACCTCTCCCCGCGGCTTCTTCTTTTTTCCTGCTCCCTTCCGCCCCTCTCACGGCTTGTTTCTTTCTCTGTCTCAGCTGAGCCGCCGGAATATCTGACGTAGGAGGCTGCCCAGCCGGCTGTAGTCACGACATTGTCTCATATTGTTTCCATACAGACTCGACATCCACGATTATCCGCCAATTCGCCCCCGGCACCAGGCTTGTTCCCTGCTCAACCCATACATACAAGCACCACTCGACCCAAATCAGAAAGCTCGTCGATTGTCTGTATATTTGTCCTGTTCATCAATCCGAAGAGATTCAACCCTCATACAGACGAAAAGCCCCTTTGAACTACACTACTTTCTGTTCGCGATGGCAGCACCCACGAGTCCAGTGTCGCGGCAGCCGACAGCGCTCAGCGATGCCAACGACGAAGCTGTTCCGGAGACGGATCCCTCCGGCGTAAGTTCCTCCCACCCTTGGTTTTTTTTTTTTTTATCATCCATCTCCCAACACAGCACCTCAAACTGACGCTGATGTGACTTTTAGACCGCCACCCTCCTGGCCGAAAGGCTGCAATCGTGGAAACATGCTGTCGGCTACCTGGAGGAGTTCATGACGGCAGTTGAGAAAGTGCATAAGGCGCAGGCTAGAGAATACGAGAAAATCCTCAAGGTTTGTTGACCTCTTCCAACTTGAATTGGTCTAGTGGCGGTTTACTGACGATATCCGGACCCTGCGCGATAGACCATCCACAAGCCCCTGAAAGAGGGCCATCATTTTGACCAGAGCCTCGGCGGCGTGGCCGGCTTTTTCGAGAATATGCGAGTCAACACCGAGGCCATGGTCAACAGCAACATCGAGACGGAGCACTCTATTAAGGGAACAGTGCTACCCATCCTCGAGAGGCTGCACAAGGAGATCAAACACAAGTCCAAGGAGCTGTCTCAGGGCGCCCAGAAGAGCGCCAAGGAGGTCGAGAAGGCGCGCAACATCACACAGAAGCACATCGAGCTACTAGGCCAGCAGACGGCCGGGTTCGAGTCCACGGGTGGCAAGTTGGATCCCGCACACGACCCGTTCGTCATTCACCGCGGCGTCATGCACCGGCTTAACAAGCAGGTTATGGAGGAGAATAACCACCGAAACGACCTCATCGCGGTCCAGAACAACTTCCTGGCCTTCGAGACACACGTTGTGCAGGTCATGCAGCAGGCCATGGAGGTCTTCAACCAGTTCGCTGGCGGCCAAGCGGAGAAGATGGGGGCTCTCTATGCTGATATGCTTGGCGCTTGCCAACGTATCCCGCCTGAATTCGAGTGGAAGGGCTTTGTGGCCCGCAACCAGGACCGTCTGGTCAATCCTAATGACGACCCACGCTCTGTCGATAGCGTCACATTCGCCAATCAGGACCACAGCAGCACCCAGCCCCTGATCGAAGGGTCGCTGGAGCGCAAGTCGCGCAACAAGCTCTCATGGGGTCACCAGACGGGTTACTACGTCGTGACTCCGTCCAAGTTCCTGCACGAGTTCAAGGAGTCAGACTTCTTGCGCAAGGACCCCGTGCCCGAGCTGAGCATATACCTGCCCGATGCTGTCATTGGTACGCCTAATGGAGACAAGTTCAACATCAAGGGCAAAGACCAAGCCAAGGGTTTCAGCAGCAGGCTTGTGGGGAACGCCGAACTGTCTTTCAAGGCCCACAGCGCTGCCGATGCCGAGAAGTGGTTTGAGGTGATCAAGAACGTAGCTGGGGCTACAGGGGTAAAGCGTGTTAACACCGAAGTGGGCGCCGCTGCGTCGCCTAGCGCTCAAGTTGATGGTACTTCGGGGGCTACACCGCAACTCGCCCCGCTAGCTACCGACCAGAAGGCTCAGGAAGCCGGCGTGACCAGAACCGAGCCAGTGACGAGCCCGTCAGTCATCTCGCCAAGCTCGGCCAAGGACACGTCGAACTCTACGTCCCCTGAAACCGCCGTGTCTCCGACTACACCGGCCACTGCTTCTGCGGGCGCTGAAAAGCCACTGGTAACGGATCAGGCAAAGCCGGCCAAGGCTTGATCGTTGCAGCCATCATGACAAGTCCCCAGCGAACCGTGAGGCTTGCGGCCTGGAACGGCAGCCAGTAGCCACTGAAGAATCAAGGCTCCCGGAGCACGCATCACGACGAGTGATGTGGCAGATCGTCACCGGAGAAGTGAGGCGGGCTGGCATAAGTTGGGTGCGGCGTTCGCGCACAGATTTATCAAGTACTCATGGTGGGCCGGTGACCTCGATGGCCCGGCGCTCTCAGGCCCGTCCTATGCAGGCGCCTTCGCCCGAGCATGTCTTTTATTTCCTACTGCCTGCAATCCGATTCGCTTCTCAACTAGCATCCGTCCTAGTTCTAGCTTGTTTGATCATACCACCGTCATTGCTACTACCCGCGCCCTCCAATCTTGATCCATTAGGTGACTGTGCCACTGTATGCAAGTTGCCGTGAGTATAACCCACATGGCCACCCACCCACCCGCCCAGCCAGAGGCACACACACACCTACACACCCTTCCACGCCTGGATACATGAGAGAAAGGGCCAGACACCGTGTCTCGTTGGGCCCCATCGGGTAGTAACGCTTGAGAATGCCAGCACACAGTGGCTATATAATCTGACCGGTGCACCTCGGGCGTCGGCGAGACCCATCCTACACAAATGCTGATATCGCTGAATCGTCACCGTCATACATGTTCCGGGCACTGATGGGAGCAGGGCCAGCTCTCGGACGTGGCCGAGATAACGTCCCAGAGCGGATCGGAATCGTCGGAGGAGATATGCTGCCAGGTGGCAGGCCACACCAGAAGTACGCCCAGAAACCAGCCCGACTTTCCTACCCGCGATCCGTTCCAATCAATACTGCCCACTTTCATCAAGTCGAGGACTCGAGGGCTCGAGGGCTTTTCATTCATAAAATATGATTACCGGCTCGGCGCCGCCGAGGAATTTTCGACGCAATGTCCCAGGGGGACCAGCAATAACAGCACATTCGCTCAGGATGACACGCTGTCTTTTGAGGCTCATGTTTGATTACCGCAGGCTTTTTTTTGCTCTCTTTTTACGCCAAAGCCAGTACTCTCGAAACAACGTGGACAAGACCAGTATATGGGATTCACAACACCAATGCTGATGCTGTTTCTTCTTCCTTTGGTTCCTCGGCTTTCGACCAAAGCAAAACCACCAAGGTGAGGTTGCTGAGCTGACAGATGGTATAGTGCTACCCAACCGGGGGATCGGGCTCGTTGCCAAGGCTACGAACCTACCAACCCAGGTACCCAGGGAAGGCGGCCGATGGGCGATGGAAGGGGCTCCGGGAACTTCCCGCGGGAGTTCCTCGAGTATACTGCCGTGAACCCACGATGGGAGGGCCAGATGGGAGCATGCCGCAGCAGTGGAAGGTCACACCCCACTCGCTAGTCGAGCGTGAAGTTTGTGAGCCAATCGGTGTGCCTGACTTGTCTCTTTGGCTGGCGGGATGCGTCCGGGGTACATGTTAGTACATGTGCTGACTGCCCAGACCTCAGCCTTACCATTTGCGTCGCACGAAATGCGAACCACCAGGCAATGGACACACCACCCAAGGCCTGCACCCGGCCGCGTTGCCTCTTTTCGGCGGACCTCTTTCCTTCGACACGCTGCCGCTCTGCATTGGTCGAGGGCCGTACGCGGGAGCAGGGGGCTTGCATTCGCCCGATTTCTTCGATAGCACAGCCCCCCAGGGCAGGCTGCCTTGCCGGTACCCCCCTCGTTCCCTCCCCAAAATCCCGCCTGTCCTTTCCCGCACGCGCCAGCCGATATGCTGTCTAATGCCCGGGGCAACAAAGGAAATGCGCTCGGGTTGCAGCGTCAAGCGATACCCTCTCCTCCTGATGGTAGATCGCAGTCGGGGTCTTTTGGCTGCGCCGCCGTTGACAAGGGTCACGAGCCCCATTTTATCCGCCGCCCCGGTGCCGGCTTGGGAAGTGAAGCGGTTCGCGGGAGCACGGAGCCTCGTCACCTGCGCCGATCCCTTCTGTCCCTAGCGTGAAACAAATCCCCAATGGCTTCCGAGTATAGATGCCCCCACCTAGAGCCCATTGGTAGCCTTACCAAGATCGAGTCTCCGGGAAAGATATTCGCTGAGGCATAGCCAGTTCGCCCAACCTTCGCGGGGCAGGTTCCCCGGCAGCCAGAAGTCAGGCCTACGAGGTAATGTAAAGAACCGGGCGTTTTCACCTCATACCACCCCTCCTTGCCGGCATTCTCCTCTAGATCCCTGGAGACTGCTGCCAGGCGACCTTTCACCTCCTCCACGAAGGGCCCCTCCCCGCCCGCTTGCCTCTGCCACGTTATAAACCCGAGCCTCAGCCCTTGCATCTCTTCTCTTACCCTATGGCTCGGCCCGTAACCTCCTTTCACCCGTCTTGCCTTGGATCGATACGGCTCTAGTCCCCACGACGTGACCATGACGAAGACGTGGGATAAGCACAAGCCTGCCATTGTCGCCCTATATAAGGCGGAAAACCGACCCCTGCATGAAGTGCAGGCGATAATGCGGGAGAGATTCAACTTTGAGGCATCGTGAGTTTGACCATCCGTTGTTGCAGGATCCTCATCAGATCCTTTCCTCCTTCGCATTCCTCGCAGGTCTCCATCCCTCATCAGTATAACTCGTACCTTCACAAACACCATCGTGGACACTAACCTCGTCTTAGAATTCGTGCGTATCGGACCCGGTTCGGTAAATGGGGCCTGCACAAATACAATGCCAGACGCCGGCACTCTGTAGCCACTTATTTGGCGCAGCCTCGTCCGGAGAAGACATCGCCTTCCCCTCCATCCCCGGACTTGCCGAGATCCATCTCCCGGACGAACGTGCTAAGAAACATGTCCATGCCAACTCTCTCAACCATCCCCCCGGCGAGCCCGTACATCCGATGTCCCAATTACCTCTCACCCGACAGCTCCGGGCTTCCGAGGTAGGCCCAGAGAAGAACATGAGGCTGTGGAAGTTCCCGTCGGGGCGAGACCATAGCTGACACAAAGTACATCTAGCCCTCCTATCAAATTTGAGGATCCATGCCGCCCTGCGCTAAGCGACCTCAACGACGACCCATGCAGCAACTACAAGACCGCGTACGGGAGTGACTCTGGCCTATACTACGTCGGGGGGAGCTTACAGAGCAGCTACTCGCCCCGAAGTGCAGCGTTCCCTTCGCCTCACCTCAGCTATAGTGACGCAAACATAGCTCTGCTCAACGCTATACGGCACGACAACGAAACCATGCTCTGCCAGGTACTAGACAGCTACTCGCAGTCTTCCACATACGTCGCCCTCACCGACCCCGCCGCCAACGGAGACACAGCTTTGCACTTTGCAGTCAGCCACCGATCCTCGGCCGTGCTGCCCCGGCTCCTGCTTGCGCCAGGCATTGCCAACATGCCAGACCTCGACGGCAATATCCCCCTACATTGCCTCTTTAGGGAGCCCGGGTGGTGGCGGGAGGAAAAGCTGCTCGCGACGGCCCAGGAGCTCATGTGCAAGACCGACGTCAATATCCGGAACAGCCTGGGAGAGTCGCCATTCGACATTGCGTTTGCCCAACTCCGGCCCCTGGGGCTGCAGGGCCCGCCGGAACGCACTGTCCCCAGCGCCGGGCTCGGCGTCATCATGGCGACCATAGTCGACCGCCTGGTCGGCTCCAAGACCGCGTACGGCAGCGTGCAGCCGGACGGCTGGCAGCGGGCCACCGAGTGCCTATGCGCGCTCCTCGAGGCCGGCGCGCACCCGGACTCGCCCCTGGGCGACACGCCCGTGTTATCGTGCCTCCTCAACCGCCCGGCGACGGAGACGGAGGCGTTCGGCCGCCTGTACGACTTCACCCGCCGGCTCGCCGGGCTGGCCGACGCGGCCGCGCCCGACGCCCAGGGGCTGACGGCGCTCGACTACGCCATATCCGCCCGCCCGCACGAGGTGATACTCACCCGGCAGCGGCAGGTCATCCGCGCACTGACTGAGCGGCGGCACGGCGTCCGCCGCGCCGGCAGCAGCAGCAGCAGCACCGACCCGTCCTCGCTCGTGGCCTTTGTGGCGCAGTGGGGCGCGGACGAGGGGTTCCTGGAGCTGTCGATGCGGCTCGTGGCGGCGCGGGCGGACACCAGCGCCCTCGTCCCCGCGCCATTTCGCGAGACCTTCCCTGCGGAGCTGAGGTTCCTGGTCTCGATCAGCCAGGGCGGCGATGGCGGCGACGAGCGGACAAGCCGCGACCACTACGGCCGCCCTCGGCTGGATAGTTTGCAATGCCAGGTCGCGCCGGGCGTGCCGTTGGGCGCGGCGATTTGGATCTTGGCCTGTGATCTGGACTCTTGGGAAACAGCCAAAGAATGTAGGTCCTTCTCCTCGTATTCCCTCCCCCAATCCCTCTTGGTATTGTTGTGCCTTTTTCCCGGATTTGGTTTTTGGAATCTTGGAAACCCCCTCCCCACGCCTCGTGGTTCACATATGCCACTTTTTGGTCACATCCACACGTCGGCCACACGTCTTTTTGGGAATCTATTTGCTCTGGTCGAGATATCCTTGAAGCCCTTCCATCCCGCTGGCAACCCTTTGGGATACGCCACATTCCAATATGATGATATGTTCGATAAACATGCCCTCTGCCCTCTGCCCCAGCCTTGGAATGTGTTCCCAACCGACACAGTCGGAAATGATTTTGGAATAGCACAAAAGGCCCCCTTCTGACTTTGGGTCCCATATCCCCTGCGGCATCTAGATCTGTGGGCGCTCGAACAACTCATGCCCAAGCCGCCGTGCCCGACGCGGCGCCTCCACGACGAGGCCCTGAGGCTTCTGTCAGCGAAGTTCCTCGACGGCTGGGCGAGGCTGCTGAGGGCCGCGGCAGCGTCGCTCCGCTACGCGCCGCCGGACCCGAGCGCGAGGCAGGCCGCAGACGCGTACCTAGCCGTCCTGGACCTCTGCGCCGCCAGGGGCGAGCACGCGAGATCCGATAAGCGCCACTACGACCTCGTCGCCGAGCTGCCGGCCTTCTTCTCGCCCGCGGCCGCGGACGGACGTCGCTCGGGCTACGCGAGGACTTGAGATTGGCATGCCTATCGCCAGCGAAAACGATGAATCCTTTTACACGCTTCTTCTTTGTTTATCCATTTCGATCCGTTCATTCTCTGCCTTTTATTATTACTTGCGTATCTTACCGTGTTTTCCTTCTTTTTTTCATTCGTTCATCCTTTTCTACCTCTTGCAACGCCGGCCATGCGAACGATGTGATGACGGAAACTCATGTAACGACAACAGGATATCGACGACAGCTCTCTTTGATGGGAAACAGGACGGACACTCGCGTGTAACTTTCAGGGCGTTCCTTTCTCGGCTCGTGGAGTACGGCGCAGCGCTCTGGATTCGTGGAATATCAAGGTTTATGACGACCAGGTGGAGGACTGGGTTGCAATAATAACGCTGAATGGTCTTGTATCATGTTTCTCCTCCTTTTTGTATTTCCTTTTGCTTCTTATTCGTGAACTTGTCTTTATTGCCTATTCATGTATCCTTTGTTTCTCATACAATAGTTAGGGCCCTACTCTGGCTCCAGGACGCCTCGCAGACGTGATTCTGCTGTGGCCATTTTCAACAAGTTATAGCTATTCTCCTGCAACCCTCTTTCAATTTGAGAGACACATGCATTGTGTCGAGGGGAATTCCCATCAAAGCAATCCAGCTTCGAGGCCGGTGCCCTGGCTTCTACAGAGCGCACTACACAGACGGTCTTATCATACAGATAGGCGGTACCCCCCATTTCAGCTTAGCTGGCGTCAGGACTCTTCCTGGCGCCAAAGAAGTAGTTTCCGACCTTCTCGGACCCCGGGACGGCCTTCCAGCCCAGGCCCGGGACGTATACGACGCCCTGGCAGCGCGAGAAGCTGCCGAGGCCGGCCCAGCCCTCAGCGGCGGGGCGCGAGTCGAACCAGCGCCGCAGCTCGTGGGCGTCGAGGTACTTGTCCCAGTTGTGGGTGCCCCTGGGCACGATGCCGAGCACGCGCTCAGCGGCGACGATGGTGACAGCCCACGAGGCCCAGGTGCGGGCCATGGTGCTGAGCACGAGCCAGCCGCCCGGGCGGACCAGGGCGCCGCAGCGCTCGAGGAAGGCCGAAGGGTTCTCCACGTGCTCGACCACCTCGAACGTCGTCACCACGTCGAACCTGCCGTCGCTCGCCGCCGATGCCGACTGGTCGCCCCCGCCGCCGCCGCCGACGTCCAGCGCCTCGACCGGGGAGTGCAGGTACGTGAGCTTGCGCTGGACGGCCGGGGTCTCGCGGGTCAGGTGCTTGCGGGCGACGGCGATGACCTCGGCCGAGGCGTCGAGGGCGGTGACGGAGGCGACGGACGGCAGGCGGGCGGCCGACTCGGCGAAGATGCCGCCGCCGCAGCCGACGTCGAGGTACCTCAGGCCGCCGGCGCGGGCAGCAGGCGGCGGCGGCGGCGGCGGCGGCGGCTCCGAGGCGTGACAGTCGTGGATGAAGTCGTGGCGCAGCGGGTTCATCAGGTGCAGCAGCCGCGAGGGGCCCTGCTTGTCCCACCAGGTCGAGGCCAGTGCGTCAAAGTGCGATATCTCGGACTGGTTGACGGTGCTGAAATGTTGGGGGGCGTTGCCGCTGCCACATGAGCCGGCCTCGGTTGAATAGGGGTGTGGGCATGGCCGCGGTAGTGGTGATAGCAATGACGAGGGAGCCGGCGGCGCGGGGCCTCTCCCATGGTGTGGCTGGCTGCCACAGGCGGAACTAGGCCGAGCGCGCGGAGCTGCCAAACTGAGAAGCCGCGCGGCAGCATGGCCGACTCTAGGGGTGGACGTCATTTTTACAGACCCACTTTCTGGGCCGCTGTAAACTTTTGACTGCCCTTTTTTTTTCTATTTCGGCATCCTTTTCCTTTGGTGAGTTGGCCTTGTCAGACAACAGGATAGAGTATCGTTCGAGTGTGAAGTGAGCGAGCAAGAGACCACAGTTACGGGAATACTCTGTGCCCACAAGCAGTGATGATATTGAAAGAGAAGGGGCGTGAGGGCATTGCCCAATCGAAAATTGACGGGAGGAGTCTAAACTGTGGGGTGCAACTGGTTCCGTTACGCGGACCGGACTCGGAGCTCATGTTCACATTTCCGACATTCACAAGATCTCAGGACTGTTCAACCAGGAGCCAGGGTCTACAGGGTCCACAGCGAAGAAAAACCAACTAGGCTGGCGGGGTATTCATGTGCTGAAGTGCGCATGCATGGAACTCATCTTTGCGCGGCTGCAGGGCGCGTTTGTCAGCGGCAGTCAGCTAGTGGATACTCGCTTTCATAATCCATCCTAAACCGGTGATGAGATGCCTGCCTCCAGCACTGGACTCTTGAGTGTGCATATACTATGTAAAACGCCACACGCAGACACTTCCGCATCACGAAAGGATCAGCAGCACCTTCACGTTTACTCCAATGCTCCGGCTCCAGATCCTGACTTGCTTGTGATATCAATTGCTCCCCGATTCGCCGACATCCCGTCGAGTCGCCATCTCAGTTAGCTCTAGCCCCATAGGCTTCGGTCTGCTTCTGCCAAAAGCGACCCCTGAAGACCAGTCATTGCATCGGACTCGCCGACAGCGCTCTTAGGATTGTGTTGGCAGCAAGGGAGAAAAACCGTACAATTACCTCACTACAGCCGAGCCACCCAGGTAGTACCTTTCTGGATACACCACGTCAAGCACCCATTTCCAAAAACAAGTGGCCAGCTCGCCGTCCTCAATCTCGAACCAATCGGCCCAAACCCCGAGCCGAGGGCCCCGAGTCACACCATAAGCCGGTGCTGAGTTTAAGCCGAGGCGCCTGCAAAATCCCCAATTCGGTAAGTCGCAGCACGCGCAACCGCGGGCCGCCGGCCAGTCAAGAGATTTCGGCCAGGGCGGGAGTCTAAAAGGTTGAGCAGCAAGCAGCAGCAGCAGCAGCAGCATCAAATATTTGCATCACAGCAAAGCCTGCCATCCAGACCAAGATGCCGTCAACAGAAATTTCAAGGTCCAAATTCGACTCGATCCCAGATGTGATCGAGGCCTACAGTGAGCAGGAACCCAAATCCCCCATCAAAAAAAAAAGAAGAGAAAACTCGCTCACCAAAACGTACGTGCACAGGGAACGGCGAGTTCGTCGTGGTGCTCGACGACCCGTCGCGCGAGAACGAGGCGGACCTGACAATAGCCGCCGAGGACGTGACGGCGGAGCAGATGGCCTTTTTGGTGCGGCACTCGTCCGGGCTCGTGTGCGCGCCCATCCTCCCGGGCCGGACCGAGCAGCTGTCGCTGCCGCAGATGGTGGAGCGCACCGAGGACGTGCGCGGGACCGCCTACACCATCTCGGTCGACGCGCGCGACCCCTCGGTCGCCACGGGCATCAGCGCCCAGGACCGCGCCCTGGCCTGCCGCCTGCTCGCCGACCCGGCCTCGACCGCCGCCAGCTTCCGCCGCCCGGGCCACGTGTTCCCGCTCCGCGCCGACGAGGGCGGCGTCCGCGCCCGCAGGGGCCACACCGAGGCCGCCATCGACCTCTGCCGCCTCGCCGGCAAGCGGCCCGCCGCCGTCATCAGTGAGCTCGTCGACGACGGCGCGGAGGTCGCCGGACGCGCCCTGCGCGAGGCCCCCGGCATGCTGCGCGGCGAGGCCTGCGTGGACTTTGCGCGCAGGTGGGGGCTCCGCGTCTGCACCATCGAGGACATGATCGCCTACCTGAACAAGACCGAGGGGACCGTCACCACCAATGGCTCGTCCTAGGCTGGTGCTTTGTGCTTTTTGCCTCTTTTTTTTCTTTCCTTGGATATCACACATCCGTCACTCTCCCTTGCCTCCTATACATCCAACTTCCCCTTCCTGCGATTCTCTGTGGGCTTCTAGAATGGGAAAACCAACTGGCCGGCGTTTCCACAACACAACCAAAAGAAAAGAAAGCAGCAACAATAGGGCCGATATGTGAGAGTCAGATAGGCCATGCCGCAAGGCTTGCATGGAGCGTGAAATATCGGGTTAGCCTGGAGACATACTATATTTTTCCTTTTGCTTCCTTGCGACCTTGAAACGCCATCTCCCATCAGTTTGTCTTCTTTTATACAGATCCCTGGGCAATTGCCACCAGAGGGATCTGCCCGCACATATCACAGGATCTATATCCTCTGCTAAACTTTGCCAATTGCAGTATGTTCCTCTTCTTTTGTATAAACTGACCTCTGTCTTCCACCCCGCGACGTGACCCTGCTGTGAGTGGTGATGCTGCTGGGTGGGGCTTTCGCACTTATCTTATCAACGAACCTTGTCGCAAAATTTCTGGCGGGAGAAACAAAATATTGCGCCGTCCTGCAAAAAATGCCCCCCCACAGGACCTGATTGATGCGACCGGACGCCCGCCATCGCCGCCCCCCCAGTCACCAACTTACCTACCCACCTACGTCTACAACCACCTAAAACGAGTGTAGCTACGGGGTAGATCTCCCGGCTCGCAAACATGGCGTCAAGTTCGAGCGCACAGCCTCCGTCCCCAGGTACGGGCCTACCTACCAAACACCTTCCTTGCTAATACCCCATGGCGCGCATCTGACCAACCACCCGCCCCCACCACCAACAGAGGCGTGCCAGAACGCGTTCGAGCGCGGCGTCGCCATGTCGCTGCACCTGTGGGACGACATGTCCTTCGCGGTGCAGAACAACATGGGCGGCGGCGACTCGGCCGACAAGCGCGACTGGGCCGCCGGCGCCGTGGCCGAGCTGTTCCCCGCCATCCCCGACGTCGTCAAGTTCCACGAGGCAACCAAGTCGTCGCCGGCAGCCGCGGCCGCGGCCGCGGCAAAGGCGAGGTCGCCCTTCCCCGCGCCCGAGGACCTCGTTCAGGACGTCGAGGAGCGGCTGCTCGACATCATGCTCGAGGAGTTCGAGACGGCCGTGCAGGACGACACGGCCTTTGACGTGGCCGAGCGCATCGTCGGCCTCTGGGCCCAGTGCTGCCGCGGCCGGCTCGCCGACGTCGACGCCCTGACCGAGAGGTGGCAGGCCCGCAAGGGCAAGTCCGTCTCGGCCATGTTCAAGCAGGGAGAGGACCAGGACCAGGACACCGACTGGGACGACACCGACGACGATGGCGAGGACGGTGGCGATGACGACGACGACGACGAGGCCCCCGCCCTCGTCGCTGAGAAGCGCGAAAAGACCCTGCCCGAGGTCGACGAGGACGGCTTCACAAAGGTTACGCGCAAGAAGAAATAAGCCGGGACACGAGAGAGAAAGAGAACAAAAAGCGAATAAACGAAGAAAAAGAATATTCAGGCCAACCAAACTCGAGCTTAGATTGCGACAGGGCGTCTTGGTAGCATGGGCAACCATTTGTATACGGCGGCAGCACCAACATATTATACCCAATCCGTGCAAGCAGTGAGTGCGTGGACGGACATGACGGACGAGAAGAAGCTCCAGAATAACCCCCCGGAAGGGGGTGACGAGAAAAGAAGCCATTGTTCACTGAATGTTCCAAACCGAAAGCTTCGACCAACCGACATCCACCCCCACCAAACGAGACCCGCTCGCCAACGGTGAAGCAAGGGGCTGATGCTTCTTGCCGTGCCTCTTGCTGGCTGCGAAAGTGAGAAGCATCGTTCTAAGAGTGCATGCACAACATTAGACCCGGCTGCTCCCACTGTACGGCTCACTCCCAGTCCTCCTCGTCACTATCTTCACCCTTCTTGTCATTTGGGCTGTTGGGCGCCTGGCTAGGTACGCCTGATGTCGCACCCACAACGTCATAGCTAGCCTCGCTGTCGGCCTGCGATTTGACATCAAGCTCATTGGACTTGCGGTGCTCGGTAGGAGTCTTGAGGGAAGATCGCACAGCAGGCTTCGTCGGCTGTGACGGCGATTGGATCGTCGTCGAGGAGTCGGTCGATCCAGGCCGCTCCTGTGTCGCCGCTGCGGGTACTGCCGATCCTGAGGCTGCTGACTTGGTCTCCGTTGCTGCTGGCTTAGACGGAGCAGCCGAAGTAGTGGTCTCGTCGTCCGAGTCGTCTTCACTAGAATCCTCCTCGTCATCATCCTCGGAGTCCTCATCCCATCCAACCTCTTCCTCAGCAGATGCAGCTGTAATGCGCCGTGAGCTGTTAGCTTCAAGTTCAATAACAAAAAAAGATAGCCCAGCACTTCTGCTGCCCATGGGTGCATGTGGGCCAACTTGCCCTTTAGCAGGTCCCTGCGCCTCGCCTCGGCCGTCTCGATGCTGTGTCTGAGGAAGTAGTAGCGCTTCCAGAAGTCCGGGTAAGGGATCTGGTCAGGCACCAATTTCTCCATCGTGGTCCTCAGCTCCGGGTACTTGGTCAGGTCCGCCGCGATGTCGGTAGTTTTTTTGTCGATGTCGAAGGAGGAAGACCAGGCAGCGTATTCCTCGCTGGCCGGGTCCTTGGAGAAGCTCTCGGGGTTGGTATGGATGACGTGCAGCTGGGCGTCGAAGCGAGACGTGTGGATCACGCGCTTGCCCTGCGCATCCTTGCTCTCAAAAAGGACGCCGTCTGCCGAGGCCCCGCCCCGTGCGCTTCCGCTCGCCGCCTCACCGCCTGGGCCGGCGATACTGATGGACTCGCGGAGGAAGTCGCGGATATTGGTGCCGAACTTGAGCAGGGCCTCGTCGGCGGCGTCCTCGGCTTTCTGTATGTCCTTTAGCCGCTGAGCGGCGGCGACTTTGAGCCTCGACAGAACATTCTCCGACTCCTTGAGAGCTTCGTCGGTCGTCAGCTCTCTCGTGCCGGCTTCGGCGGTCGTATCGGTGCCCTTGGAGCCGGCGGCGGCAGACGAAGAACCCTCGGTAGGTGGTGCTTCGGCGCCCCCAACCAGCGAGAGCCCCCGGGTCCGGCTGATGACGGCGTCGCGAAGGCTCGAGAATCCCGTGGTGGCGTCCTGGCCAACGTGTTGGGCCTCGCGATAGACGTTCCCGCCCTGTCAGTCGGCACCGGGCGGTGAGCAAAGTGCAAAGCGCGGACCATCTCCTGAGGAGGATCAAGGTCCCCATATTGGAAGGAGGGCGCGGCCTATTGACGAGCATCATACCTGCTTCGCGACGGTGCCGATGAAACCACCGATCCTGGCACCCCAGGGGCTGGATGAGAAAGCGCGGTAGGCATCCTGGACCTCTGCGCTGAGGGTGGGCTCCTCATCTTCGGGCTTCTTCTCGCCCGAGGCCCAGGGAGTGGTCTCGTTTTCCTTGGAAACGGACTTTTCGAGAATTTGATCGTAGGCCAGGTCCATGATGCCGATTCGATAGGGGGGGGCTGGCTGGTGATTCGGTGGTTGGGCGGTTGTGGTGTGAGGAGGTGCGGTGGTCCAGTGACAGGTGACGGCGGAACGAGAACCGATTCAGCGCTCGGACGGTTGCAGCCGTCGGCGGGGTCGCGGCAACGAGCGGACGGCCCCAAAGCTCCAGGTCACGGCTGTTCCGAATGAGCTCCGAGTGGACGGTCAGCGTGGGTGTTTGTGCCGGCAGAAAGCTGCTGCCCAAGTCGGCGAATGCAATCCGGGAAGGCTGACCGATTGGCTGCAGTGGGATTGATGTTGGCGCGCTGGCTGTTCGACGGGCGGCCACACACGGGAGCCGCTGCGTGCTGAGGTCATGTCTGTCGAGCAACAAACGCCGCCAAATGCGGGGCAAGCTGCCCCGTGCGTGCTCTCCATATCCACACTTTGGAAGTGCCTGCTGGTGCTGGTGCTTCGCTTCCTTGCATCTCACCGGCAGGCACCTGCTGAGAAAAGAGTGGAATTCTAGGTGAAGCCCTCACTATCTTTCTCACACCCGATGATCCCCTTCATTGGAGACCTAGGTTCCCAACCACGTGCCAGCAAATTAGGGGTGCATCAATATCAAACCTGACCGTTCGGGCTTGCAGCTCTACAAGAGACTTCGATCTCTCGAAACGGACCATGATTACTCCGTCCCGTCTCGGTGCTGCCAACATCCGGGGCACCGGAAATCCAGGCGCGATCCATCCGGCACAATTCTAGGTTGCAACCATGCAACTCGGTCGGCTCTCGGTCTCTTGGCTCGGCTTCGATCCACAGAACACACTGCCGGACAGCCACCAGGGCCAGTGAGATGCCGTAACGGTTGGCACCAAAAGCCGGTGCCATGATATGCCGTGACTCAAACGGGAAACCAATCGATGGATACCATATCCTAGCCATGATTGATGTGTACCTGACGGGCTTATCCTGGTGGGCGACCACCTGCCCTCATCTCAGTGTGTATTTTGATGTACCGTAAACATTCTCCTGTCAGCCCGACCAAGCATAGTGGCATAGCAGGTACATGAGGGGTTTAGGGTCCCTAAACCCGGGGAGGAATAAGCCCACGAACAACGATCAAAAGACCCTTCGGACATAATGCTCGGACCTAGGCGCTCTTGTGGGTGGGCCGACAAAGAGGATCGGATCGGCACAGGCGACAGCGTAGTGCTGCATTGCGCCCACCCGACTGGCGGCGGTGACTCTAATATGTGGTCCATCTCGCACTTGGTGCTGACTGTGCACCATGGCAGTGATGATAATAAAAAAGAAAACGGGGACAAGGATCTTGTGAGGTGCGAGGGCAGGGAGATAAGAGGACAAATAAAATAAAACGAATAAAACATCCTACAGGATAGGTTAGCGTTTTTGGAAGTGCATGTTTTTTTTTTTGCCCGCCCTGAGGGTGCTAACGGGTAAGCGACCAGGTCTTCTGCTCCATTCAAGACCCATCCATCTCCAGCTTTTAGTCCGTGCCTCCATGGCTCCCTAGATCTTTCCATGCCCCGCTGACAAATTGGAAATCAAGGAATCTGTACCGCCCTCTCTTGCACAGAGCTTCGCCTCCCAGTTCCGTCGAGCCTCGACACCGTTTGGCCACCTGCTTGCAAGTCCCGTTTTCGAATTGTTGCAGCTGCATGCCCTGTTAGCGTGGCTTTTCCTGTCGCCTCATCCCTACCTTGTCAGGTGAGCGGCCGTGTCATCAGAAGAGGCGCGCATTGCTGTCTGAGGCCGCAACTCTCTCGCCTGTTCCCCTCCAAACCCGTCAAACTCCACCAGCTACGCAATCGAGGCACTCCGCACGCCTGTGAAGCTGCCCCTAGCACGCCGTCTCTGTCGTCACCATACCTTTGACCTCCTACACCAAAGTCGCCGGTCCCATTGTCGCCACAGAACACCTCACATTCCACTCCAGGCGCGCCCAAGACCAGGACCGAAGGGACGCCAGCCACTCTCCATCGTTGCCAGCTTGGGGGTGCTGCTGCTCCCGAAGAGCGGGCGTCTTTAAGCCCATTCCCCTTTTCAACCTCCTTGCGAGCACGCGCGCACCCGTCTCGAGACTTGAGTTTATCTTCACGCTTCCTTTGCGCAACCAGGCGCCCCGTCCCGCCCATTCTCGCCAAAATGACATCAACCGGCAACGCGCGCCACGACTTCATCCTGACCCCGCAGCAGCAGAGCCTGCTATTCGCCGCCCTCAACTCGAGCCGGGCGGCCAATTCGCCCACCACCGGCGGCAATGCCCAGTCCTTCTCTCCTTCGTCATTCACAAGGTCCCCGGTTGATGCAGGCGATACGCTCTCCATCAATGATAGCCCCTTCGTCGACTACGACTACTCGTTCGATGCCGGCGACACCAGTTTTGACGATTCCCTCTACGACAACACCACCGGCGACCTCAAGATGATTGGCGATCTGCCTGTTGCCGGCACAGCGCCCGAGTCGACCACTGGTGGTTCCGAGGGAACCGACTCTCCTGAAAAGAGGAGCCACCCGGACGACGAGGACGACATTCAGGAGAACGGGGCGAAGAGGCGCGGGAGCACAGAGAAGGTGCCAAAGAAGCCAGGCCGCAAGCCGCTTACATCAGAGCCAACTTCGGTAAGGGATCAGAACCGCAACGACACAGCGGCTTCCCCGGGCAGTTCACGCCTTTGCTCGCAATCTCTCTTATTTACTGACCGTCATATGGTGTTACAGAAACGCAAGGCCCAAAACAGGGCCGCCCAGCGGGCTTTCAGAGAGAGAAAGGAAAAGCATGTCAAGGACCTCGAACTCAAGGTGGAAGAACTGGAAGCGCTTTCCAAGACCACGTCTACTGAGAACACAAATCTTCGCGCTGAAGTCGACCGGTTGAACCTGGAACTCCAGCAGTATAAGAAGCGCCTCAGTCTATCGGGCGGTGCCCGCCCGCAGGCTGCTACCGCATCAAGGACCACCTTTGGCAACCCCATGGTTCACAACATCAACGATGTCAACTTCCAGTTTGAGTTCCCCAGATTTGGATCCCTCCCTGGGCCACCCGCCGGGAATGACGCCGGAGTTGCCACCGGGCGTTCCCCGTCCTTTTCCCAAACCCCGTCGCTCACCAACACCCCGAGCAACCAAGGCAGCCCCAACGACGGCTACAGGGACAATGCACCAGCGAACACGTCCAAGGACGATCTCTCTGGAATCTTCAGCCCCCCTCTCACTAACACGAATGTCGCCAATGCATCCAGAGGCAGCGTGGACTCGAATTTCGGCGCCGGGGGCGCTGCCTCTTCGAGTTCGCCGTCTGCGTCGTCGACCTCGCACCAGGGACCGAACTCGTCGTGCGGAACTTCCCCTGAGCCATACACCCAGTCGCCCATGGGCTTCAAGCCCGTCGACACACTGACAACAATTGGCGAGGAGAGCGTCGCTGGCATCAGCGGCAGTCAAGGTAAATCAACGCCCTGTCGCAGCCTTATCCCTCGTCCGCACCGATAGTTCTGAGCCATGCATGATGTCTTGTGGACTGCTTTGCTGAGACAGCTCGTACAGATTTCGGCCAATTTTCCTCGATTAGCATGAACGACATCGATTGGCTGGCTCAGGCAAACAACTTCCAGTTCGATCCTCAACTCTTTGGCGGCTACAGAGAGCCTCAGGATCACATCCTCGGCACAAACGGCACGCTCGGTGACCATTTCTTCAACGAAGCCTGGGACGTGGATTTCACAACGCCTTTCAACGTCCCCATGAGCCCTGTTGTCCCCAAGAAAGATCTTATTGCCGAGATCGACGCGGCCAAGGAGGCCGACGATCCTACAGAGGCCAAGGGCGAACTGCTGACATGCAACAAGATCTGGTATGTTGTCATGACGCCTGTGTTTTTATCCCTTGACCAAGCCACGCGATTGCTGATACGAACCATCACCGCCATGCAGGGAGCAACTGCAAAACTGCCCCAAGGTGCAGAATGGAGACTTCGACCTCGACGGTCTCTGCTCCGAGCTGCAGAAGAAGGCAAAGTGCTCAGGTCATGGCGCCGTCGTCGACCAGCAAGATTTCAAGCGTGTCATGACGAAGTACCTCGGCAAGAAGGACGGCGACGCTCCCGAATGCGACATCAGCGGGCTTTCGTCGAAACCCGTCGAAATATTGCCAACCTCGGCCAAGTCAAGCTAGCGAGTCGTAGTGAGGACTGGAATGGGTCCCACACTGTACTTCACCACTCTTGATTCCCTATTGGCGCCCGGCGCGAACGGCTTATCGGTATTTGTCTTATTTTCACGACTGATGTTGGCTGGGAATTCTCGATGGGAGTATGGCCGACTCTGCCCCGACCACGGAAGAAATAAAAGGATAGCGTAGAGGGAGGGACGAAGCCCCCTCGCCTCTGCGATCATCGGCGTTCCGAGTTCGGGGTGGAGGAGGGATGAATCTATGGCCCATTCAGAAAATCTAGGAGGGCCCACGGAACGCCCACCTAAACCTGAATGAGGATATTCGGGCCAGTATGAACTTGGCCCCCTTGTGTGACCTCAGGTTCATCCTGTTTTACGGATCGCTGGAGTTCATTTGCTTGGTCATTTGTTCCTAGTCTTTGGGGAGGAAAAAAAAGGATTCGTCAAATCTTGAATCAAGATCGGCCGTCTCTTTTCATTTTTTGGGTAGTCCAGGTACTTCACATGTTGGACGGGATATGTGTGTTTGAACGCAAATTTGTATTTTTTTTTTTGGCTCGCTCAAACATGGCATGGCTATCGGTGCGAGAACCCCCTTTTTGTGTAGGCCTGCCGACTGGACCCCCCCTTCCTTACTGGCAGACACCCTCATCTCCACTCTGGAATGTTTCCCTGTTTTGATTTGGCAAGGAGCACGGTAAACATGGAAGGGAGATAGTGAACTAGGTGGTATCTTTGGAAGTTGGCAGTGACCTCTTGGCAGTCCGGAAACGTGAAACCCGCACAAGAAAAGAAGAAGAAAGAAGAGTGCAAGAGTAAGAGGTCCCAAGATGGACTGCTAGGTATATGTAAAATATGACCAGACCAGCCCGGTGCGACACCTGACGCGAGGAGGTCGACTCCAGTCTACCAAAGCTGAAAGCTAGATACAAAACATATGCATGAGGGGAGGGAAATTCGGACAAGAGGCATCCATCCCAAGCTCGTACGTGGCCAAGAAAAAAAAAAAGAACCAAGGAAAATGCGACAACAGAGAGCCAACCACGCCAACGTCAGAGAAGATGATAAGAATATGAAGATTTAGATTCGCCTCGGACAAGTCGTTAACCAAACAGATTATATTAGTTTACTAGGCGCCCGGCGGCTGCCCCCGTCGTCACTGGCAGGACCCCCACGGCTAGCCCACGCAGCAGCCACGAGGCCGAACCCGCCGTGAGTAGTCAGCGAGCTTGGCATGTGGTGTGCGAGGGACGCTATTCCGGATTGCCGGAAGCGATGCCGCGGACGAGTGGATGGTGAGCGGGGTGTGGGTTGGATAGCATCGGCATCCCGAAACAGCCGCCCAACAGGTGGGCGGATGGCCAAGCTTTGGGGCGCATGTGAGGCCTATCCACCGACCGGCCCGTCCCCGCAACCATGTCTCTCGTCACAAAAGCCAGTGCGGGGCCAACGGCCGTGTGGCTGGCTTCAGGGCGGTCGGTGCGTGAGATGAGCGAGTTCACGACCCCAAGCTGACTTTTATTGGGGTGTGTGGTCCTCCTCCATGATTGCAAGGGCAAGCCCAAAGGACCTGCCCAACTTCGAGGGTCCCCCGGAGTCACCCAATCATGGGACTGGCAAGACGCCACGTCGATGCACAGAGGCCGACAGGTGGCAGGGACGGAGCGGAAATGGACCCATGGAGTTAACCAATGACCTGCCTGGCACCCTCCTTGCCCAACACACCCCTCTCTTTGGGCTTAGGGCTGTTGCCCCGGCCCTTTTTGCGGCTCAAGAAGCCGAAGACGCCACCTAAGCCGCCACCGCCGTTGGCATCGTCGTTGCCCGCGCCAGCGGCGTCGGCAGGCAGAGTCGCGTCCTGGCGTGCGAGATCGGACCAAGAGCCTGCCCCGTCCAAAGTCACCTGGACGCCGCCTGTGGGGCTCCCAACCATTGCGCTCCCGGCGAGGCCTGTCCGGTTAAGCCCTGCGCCGTTGCTCTGCGCGTTTGTGTACGCTGTCGGGTAAGGTGGCAGCGGCGGTAGACGGCCCGGAGGCTGTTTGCGCGTCCTTGATGACGCGCCGCCGCTGGCGCCACCACTGCCGGCAGTCCGATGCGACCTCTGAGAGGATGACGATGCTTGTCGGTTGATGGATGACGGGTCGTTGACCATCTGGGTTGCTTCGTCTGTAGTAAGGGCCTGGGGCGGGCCGTTGGTTGCCATGCCCGGGCCCGTACCCTGGGGGGCTCCCGGTTGTGCCTCCCCGCCTTCTGTGATCCTGTTGATCCCAACGCCTGTTAGCTCTGCAAGACCCGTGAAACCAGCCGTGCTCGCAGCCGAGTGCTCGAGGAGTGCCTACTTCTTGTATGCCGCAAGCGTGTAGTCAAACGGCTGAAAGTCCCTCTCTATCATCCGATAGAGCTCTTCTTCGCGAATCTCCTTCTCCGTGGCGTCGTCCTTTAACCTTCCGCGGGGCTTCTGCCTGCGGGCCCGGGCCTCCAGCGGTGCCTCCTCCAGCAGCAGCTCTTCCAGATCATACGTCGCATCGAAGTTGGTCTTTTCGGACGAAGGGATGAAGATGGGCTCGATCAGCTTCCGCTCCAGGTCTTCAAAGTCGATGCAGGCGAAGAATTCATGCTGGGTGAAGCTCTCCCAGGTCGCACCCATCCGCCTTTCCGGCACAGGCTCAAGAGCATCCCTGATGCCATACAGACAGGATAGGGAGACGGGCGGCGATGTGATTGGGTATTTCGGGTTGGCGGCCTGGATGTTCTGACTAAGACTGGATTCGGAGTTTCCCTCAAATGGCCTCTGATGCTGGGTCAGTAGCTGTCCATGATATCCCGGTACCTAGGCCGGGAGTTTGGTTTGGCGGGCATACCTTGTTGTAGATGCACTCGTAGAATAGCACGCCGAGAGACCACCAGTCGGCCTTGACATCGTAGCCTCGGCCTGCATATACCTCGGGAGCAAGGTAGGCCAGTGTTCCCGACTTGCTTGTCAGGACCTTGCCGGGGATTATGTCGGATGCCACGTTCTAAGAAGGGTGGAGGGGCCGAGTTGGTTAGCAAGCAGGAGCATTGGTCGTGGCGGGGAATATGTTGGCCATGTTGGCAGACTTACAAAGTCCGTCAGATGTACGTGACCATCGGCGTCCAACAGCACATTATCGGGCTTTACATCGCGATGTATAATGCCCTGGCCGTGGACATACCTCAAGGCACACCCCAGTTCCGCGATCCAAAACCTCACAGCCTCCTCGGTAAAGGTCTTGCGGGAGATGTGAAACCTCAGGTCGCCGCCGCTCATCAAGTCCACAACGAGATACCTGGATGGCGTCACATTCCTGGCGTTAGCCGCGACCAATTCCTGTAGGCGCAGTGTTGTGACCACTGCCGCCGTCATCGTCGCCACTAGAAGGAGTCTGGGGAGGACGAGCCGGGTTGGGGCGGTGAGATTCGTACATGTACTCGATATCCTGGAAGCTGTATCGCAAGTTGCATATGAATGGATGATTGACATGTTCCAACATGCGTCTCTCGCGGATAATGTTTCGAACGCTCTCGGACCGGACGACTGCATAGAGGCGGTATCGAGATAAAAAAGTCAGATGGCTGGCCCGCACAAGCAAGGGGTGTGGAGGAGGATGGTTTATCGTACCCTCATCTTTACGGATGTACTTGAGGGCAAACGAGAGGTTCGTGTCTTTCCGCTCGACGATGCGCACCTTGCCGAAGGCGCCGCGGCCGACAACCCTCAGGAGTCGAAAGTGGTTAAGGTTCACTGCGGGTGGCAAGCCATATTAGCCACCGGGCCTACGCCACAACATTCGGCACCCGACATTCGGGCCAGGCGCAGGGAGGGGTGCGGCTTGCCTTCGCCGTCGAACTCGACGGGTTTGCCCTGGCTGTTGCCCATGGCCGCTCCGTCGCTGCGTTCGCGACGTCACGTCCAGAGGCGTTTGGGTAGCCCGGAGCGATGCGAGGACCGCTTGGGCTTGAGTGCAATTCTCGAACGCTTCGATGGGAGGTGTTGTCGGATTGATAGGATTGCTACCAAAGACACATCCCCCTTGTCTCGGGAACGTGTTCGGAGGTGGGCGCGCAGTATCCGTGGCGGGAGGGTCGATGGGGCGGGAGGAGGAAGGTCTAATAGGCGGCAGAGGAGCCGCAAAGAAGACCGAGACAAACGAGAGGGTCGGCTTGTTCCGGCCTTGCTCCTGATTTTTCCCTGCTTTCTCTCGTCTGGCTCGCCTGTCCTCTTCCACGACGCTCCTGTCAAATGATACAAGTGATTCCCGATATGATAAGAATTCCGTATTGGTGTTTGTTCTTGTGATTTATGACTTTTCTTGTTGCTTTTTTTCTTTCTTTCTTTTTTCTTTTTTTCCGTCCGTCTTATTTCTCAAGTGTTGCCGGTCCGTTGTGCTGCGTGGGACAAGCTCGCGCAGGTAGCCGAAATCGAGACGGGTCGGTCGCTAACGGGAATGGTGGCGGAGAGAGGTGTGGATAGTACGGTCTGGAATTTATTATTATTATTTTTTCGGTGTTTTCCCTTAGAGACTTAGAGAACGGGAGGGTGGGTAGGCGTCATTGGCGGCAGGCAATGGGGAGGAGTCCCAGGGGAGATTTCGGTTGGGGTGGAGATAGGACCACGAGGAGGCGGAAATGCCTGCTGTACGAAAAGGAATGGCAACGAACTCCAGGACGGCGGGAGCGGGTTATGCAGAGCTGTCTCGTGCGGGCCGCCAGTGTCGAGGCGTCTAAGAAGAATGGGGGGCGTCGATGGATACTGGTGCAAATGGGGCAGGGTGCGTGCTGGTGGTGGGTGTTGTGTGTGTTATGTGTGTTGTGTTGGGTGTGTGATGGCGGTGGTGTCTCAGCGTGCCAAGCGAGAGGCCGAGGATAGGGACAGCAGGAGCAGGTCGATAGCAGACAGCCAGAAACGGACGATACGTACCACGAGAGAGAGGGTCTAGTCGAGAGGTTCCAGGCATGGAGGCCAGCGGCGGCTCTGACGGGTTGGCTGTGCAGCAGATTGGAGATGGAGTTGGTAGTTGGTGCAACGGGTGCGGGCGTCGGTGCTTTCAGTGGTTGCGGCAGACAGGTGCGGCAGTGCGGCAGGTGTGGCAGCGCAGGAGCAGTGCAACGCACAGCTCCCTCAAGGGCAGGCACCAAACAGGCAAGCAGCCCGGACGTATCTGACGGCGCACACGGGCGGGCGGGCACTCGCTCTGTTTGCTGTTTGTTCGTTTGTTTGTTTGTTTGTTCTCTGCTGCACTCATACCGACCGCTTCACATCTCCCCAATATGCAGCGCAACCATCAATCGTTCAATGTCGATGCCAAAGAGGGGCCCTCAACCTAGAGATCGTCTGCCAAGCACCAAAGGTAGATTGGTGGGTTTGGCCCCTTGTCCCCGCCCCTTAGTATAATCGTCGTTTTTAGCCCCGGTCTAGTTAGTCGTCCCTCAACGTGGATTTCGCATGGCTCGCTCGTCGTCTTCTTTTTTTTTCTTTTCTTTTTTTTTCTCTTTTTTTTCTTTTTTTTTCCCGGCTCAGGTGTCGGCAGGTGGAGTGGAGTGGGGACAGTCCCGGTCAGGGAGACGGATTCATTGAAAGGTGGCGGCGCGGTGGATCTGTGCAAGGGTGCAACGCACGGATTCCCACCGCACAACCATACCTACGCGAGGCCCCACCACCTGGATTAGAGGTGCCGGAGCCTGGCGGCATCAACCATCAACACACTCGCACACCCTCTCTCTCTCCTTCTCTCTCTCGTTCCTTACCCCAGTGCCCACCCATCATCTGGCCAGACCTTGGAAACGCGAGATAGCGGGTGGCTGATGAGTCACGCCCACGCAATTGGCCGGATCACTAATATGACATCTGTGCTATTGCCCAGGCACATCATATGCATACCCATACCCTTTATAATACGTGGCCTAGCATTACAGTGATTGCCCAGCCCGGACGAAGTTGGGCGGAAGTTGGATATGACAAGAGACGGGCCTACATGCCCAGGTAGGCAGGTACCTGCCTTGCTGTCGCCCTATCAACCGAGGTAATGGGAATGACACTAAGTACGGAACTGCCCGCAATAGGTCAAATGTCCAGATGTATCTGTAGACGCTAACCGCGAGCTAGCAAAAGCCCAGAAGGCCTCTAGGTCCACGACGTCCACGCTCACGGTCCAGACTCTACGTGCAGTACAGACGTTTGCGTGTCTGCCGCGTCTACTGCGTCCACTGTGTTGCCCACCTAAACCCCGACGCTATGTGCATATTTCGAATGCCTACCTCCTTAGGTTGGTGGGGAGGTACATGCGAGGTCATCGACCGTCAACCGCCTCACCTTGGTGTCAGGGGGCGGCATGTTGCTGTTACAACTGCTGCTTGCTGCCCGCACGATCCGGCATCTCCCAAGGTGAGGGGAGCACACGATCAAGGGTGAGTTGCCTGCCTGCCTGCCTGCCTGCCTGCCTGCCTGTGCAATGAGGTGGTCTGACGGAACCGTCGTTGCACGACGCTACAGATATGTACCATTTATGGTTTCCGTCGTGCCCAATCAGGCCTGCCCAAGAACATCATGGCCCCTCTCCGCGCCGGGACCCGGCGTGCGTCGGCCCAAGAGGCGGACCAGTCTGCCTCGTAAGGTTTCCCGCCTTGGATCGATGACACTTTGTCTCCGCAGCTCGGCAGCAGGCAACGGCTGACAAGCCTGGGGTGGGGTGCTTGTGTGCTCGGGTGCTTGGCTGCCCAGGTACCTGCCACTTGGAGCTCCCAGCCTGGTCTTGTCCAATCTCGTGTACGGTCCCCGGGAAGCCGCCCAGTGCCTGTGTGATGGGGGACGACCCGACGTCTCGTCTGCGTGCCTGCGTCCTGGTCGTGTCCTCATGCCGGCCGACGGCGCAGCCAATCCCCAAGCGCCGGCTGCTGCCCGCCTGTTCAGCTGTTTGCTTCTCGGCCATAAGAGCAGGCCAACAAACCCACCGTTCGGCGTCGCCGTGAGTCGCCCCCTTCGGCTATGGGGAACAGTGGGGGGTTAAGGTGCCTGATCCCTGAAATCAGAGTGGCGCAACCACCCTCAAGAGGGCCCGAAGCTGGTTTCAGATTTCTTGCGAAGGGCCCCAGCCGCAGACCGCCCCAACCTAGCCAGGGTCCATGAGTAAGTCGGACTAGGTACACAGTAATGCACGTGGCCAAAGCGTTCCGGGCATTCAATCGCAGCTGCTGTTATCCCTAGCCCGCCTATAATCAGAGCTCGAAGCTTGTGTCAATAGTTCCCGCCCCGTCCATTCTCGTGATATCGGGAGGCCCCCCCGCCGCAGGCCACCGGGCGTCCCGTCGAGAGCCCATTCGGTGTCCGGCCTGCATGCAGTCTTGTCGAGATATGTCTGTTGGGGGCTGGTGGTCGTGGCTGGCTGTTTTGTTGACTGTTGTGTTGGCTGTTCTGCCGTCTGAGCGGGAGAAGCGTGTGGGCGCCTGACTCTTGCCATCTTTTTTCCGACCTCCCAGGCAAGCAGGATCCCTCCGGCTCCAGTGCTCTGCCATGTGAAAGGGCTTGCATCCTTGTCCTCCACGTGCCGCCCGCAGACGGCACTGGCGACCTAGGTGAGCGCTAACCGCGTCAGTCGGAAATGGTCTGGAAAGGGTAATAGGGGACGCCGCCCGTGGGTTGCCAGCCATGCCAGCCATGCTAGCCCACCCCGCCGCCCACGCGACAGATGACTTTGGCTCTAGGCTCGAGAGGGTCAAAAGAGGACATGAAAACGTGAGCAATCTTTGATAACGACAGACATGCAGGCACGGCAGGGGCATGCCCTGTGAAATGTTTTGTTTCCTATCAGACGTGTCAGCCGTTGGCTTCCTGCTGCTGAGGGTGTGGGCTCCAATAGCGCCCGATGAGATAACCATACGGTCAATGGAAGCTGTTACGTCCCGTCGTCCCTGGCCCAGCCGCGAAGCGAACCATACGCACGTAAGCGTCCTGCAGCTGCCGTGATGAGGTAAAATATTGATCCTCTTATTCTTTACTCTCTCTCTCTTTCTGCTATGCTGTATCGGTGGTAGCATCGAGAAGGCTAGCCAGCGCCGTCCCCGTCAAGGACTATGGAGTTCTCAACTTCTCCCCCTAGCCCTGGTTAGGGGGGGGGGGGGGGGTGGGCATGAGTGTCCACGTGTTTGCTTTCTGGGGTTTCCCCCGGTCAGATTTGAAGATGCCGACGCGGCCAAGCAGCGCCTCTCCCGGTCTTTGGGACAGGTGGCTGAGAGAAGGGCCCCTTGCAAAGACAAATGCGCCTGGGCGGTGTTTCTCATTTGCGTCCTCATTTGCTTTCGGTTTGTTCTTTTCTTTTTCTGTCAACTCCGTCGGAGATGAACGACCGGGTAATAACCCCCGGTCTCCGGCAGATATTCTCCTGCATCGTCACAGCTGAAAACGAGCGGCCAGGCCCAGACGCAGACGCAGACGCAGACGTTTGGGATGCGAGGAGCCAAAGAAGCGGAAGGGAAAAGGAAGAAAAGGGGGGTCTGCGCAACGTCGCAGCGGCTCGCGCCCCTGCATCCCACCAAGGAGATTGCTCTGCGATCTCCCCCTGTTTCTGGAACATTTCCGTGCCCAGCCCCCGGCCGACGATGGCGATCTGCGTGCGTGTAAGGCCACAAAACGCGCACTGAGCGCCCGCGAGAAGCGCCACACGCGCCCAGAGTTTGCACGCCGCAGGATCGTAGCAGGCCGTGCGGTCGTCTCGTGGTGGATGCCGTAATACAAACGGAGACGGCAACGAAACGGCTGTGCGCGCAGCGTGGACTTCGTCAATGCCCCTCTCCGGGCAGGCACGCAGGTCGGGCTACGAGGCTGAGATTTTGGGAGGGGATGGATATAAGTGATGGCGAACTAATCACTGGTAGGTACCATGTAGAAAATAGGATGCACAGGGAGTGAGCCGTTGAGAAATAGGTAGGTACCTAGGCTTCCCAATTAGCCCAAGATTGAAATGCCGCTTGCTGGCACGCTTGGAGCTCAACACTGAGCATCACGATGACGTCATGCAGCAGAACGGCAGCTCGCGGTGCACAGTTGGCCACCACAATAAGGTCAAGACTCTTTGGCGAGACAGCTTGGTGCTATTCACTCCAATTCTAGCCCATATTGTGTATTGAACTGGAACAAGCTACTGTACGATATCCTCTTTAATCGATCCGCCATCTAGATTGTGACTGCACCCACCTCCGTATCTCCACCTAGACTATGTCGCGCACTCAGTCCCTCTGCCAAGCCGGCGCCCGCCTGCTTCGTAACCGCGGGGGCGCCGCAGGCTTCGCCATACCGGCTCCTGCAAGGCTGGCGGCAGCGGCTGCGACGCAACGCAAGAGCCCATACCACTGGACCTCGCCGGCCCAGCTGCCATACAAGGACGCCCAGGACCGCGACTCGCTCAAGCCCAAGGCCCAAGAGTACGTCAAGGGGGACGAGGGGGGCGACGACGCCGCTGCGCATCGGGACGACGCCGCCTTCAACCCGGACAAGACGAAGCCCGAGACGGAGAAGGACACGGCGGGCAACGGCAGCAACCCGCTCGAGTTCAGCCCCGCGAATCCGGACCTCTCGGCGGGCAAGGCGAAGGAGGGCAAGGCATCCGGACAGCAGAAGCAGACGCGCAGTGGAGGAAGCAACAAAAAGAAATAACGTGACAGCCAGAGGAGGAGGCCTGTACACGCCAAGGAGTGACGGGTGTCCATGGCTTTGAAGGGGAAATACGATGGCCAAAGATCAACAGGAAGGCATGCTTAATGTGTACAATAGAAGGATGGGTCAAAGTCCATAGACCTCAAAAAAGCTGAATCCTCCGCCTAGCCATAAAAGTCGTCGTACTCCTCCCCCTCGTCGTCCGCCTTGGGCTCGGGCTCCTTGCGCTTGTCCATCTCCTTGCGGCAGAGCGGGCAGGTCCCCTTGCTGAGGAGCCAGGGCGCGACGCACTCGAGGTCGAAGCGGTGCGAGCTGTGGCAGGGCAGCTCGACGACGAGGCAGTGCTCGTCGTCGAGGTGCGGCTCGGCGCAGATGGGGCAGGCGTCCTGCGGCTTGAGGCTCCTGCGGGGCACGCGGTCGAGCCCGTCGACGAAGGCCTGCGACACTCCCTGCGCCTCGTAGGGCGGGTGCGCGATGTCGGCCTCGAGCGCCTCCACCAGGCCCGCCAGCAGCGCCCGGTTCTCCTCGGACGGCGCGTCCGCGGCCAGCGTGCCGAGCTGGTCCTGCACCAGCCGGAACATGGTCGAGAGGTCCGACGGGTTAGCCGTGGCGTGCGGGTTGTTGTGTTGCTGCTGCGAAGGAGCCATGCCGGGCCTGATCTGCTCCAGGTGCGCCGTAAAGGTCGACATGTCAATCTGCCGCCTGTGCCGGGGCTCCTCGGCCGACTTGATGTTGTGCTCGACTGGAGGGGGGGCAAGAGGTCAGTCAGTCCATGAGTCGACGTTTGCAGGAACCCGCAGTTTTGGCAACTTACCTTCGTACTGCGTCGCCATGATGGGCAGTGTTGCGAATGGCGCCTAGTCAGTGCTCACGGATGTGGACGAGATGTGCAGCAGCTGGGATTTCTGGACCTTCTCGAGCGCAAGAGAGCTTTGGGATACTCGTTTGTAGATGTTTGTGCTGAGGGGGGAGCTAGGGGTGTCAGTATGTGGCCAGGCGGGGTGTGCAGGGGCCAGAGCTCCAGGCACCGCCAGCACTGACGTTTCCCCATTCATCATTTGCTGGAATTGGCTGTTTGGGGCACAGAGCAACACGAATGATGACCCATGGTTGTCTTGAACTCGCGAAATCACGGGAATCGTTCGCTCCAAGCTTGCAAGACTGTTGTTGTTATCGTAAAACTTGAGCTTTCTTTTTTCTTTTCTTTTTTTTCTTCTTTTTTTTCA